TAATCTTGTTTTCTTGTGCCCAATAATGCATAATTTCATTTGATAAACACGTTTAGATTGAATGGTAATTTATAATCAGTCACAAGAACGTCGAATCTGAATCACTTGAAAAAAACACGGGGGTGCTTAACTTTTTTCCAGGTGTATAGTTTGTGTCATTGTCGGGCTTGTTAATCGTGCACTCAAACATAATTTATAAAAATCGATAATATTTAGATGGCGTAATTAAATCCATTTTTGGAGCACCAGGGAAGATCTCTGTTATAACTTTCAAATTTTACATTTCCATCTTGGTCTAGTAATTAATACAATGTTCGTACAAGAGCAGTTTGCTCTCACTATTTTTACAATGCACCTACAAACTTCAAAGTACAAATCCATGGAATCATATCAGTTAGTTAGTATCATATTTGTTTTACTTAATTCCTTTGTAATTGTACCTTTACACCAGTTTTGACAAAAGTCACGAAAACAAGAACCTGAAAACTCTCAGATTATTGTAATATGGAAATCATTTACATACAGCTTTACCCAAAGTTAAAGTGTGTTTGATACTTTGTAAGACTTTTTATAGAACCATAAGTTTATGTTAATTGTTTTTAATCCTACTGGTGACTCAACGAATGAGGGCTTATAACTCGGGTTTCGATACCCTCGGTAGGCAGAACGCAGGGAGCCATTGTGTAGCTTTGCACTTAACAACAAGCAAACAACTGTTATAGAAATATGCTGAAAAGAATTACCTGAAATGTACGATTAAGTCATAAAAAAATCAACAATATATACACGTTTCTTATTAGGATAGATTAAGATCTATATATAACATGAAACCTCTGTCGTGTTTTTTTTTTATGTTACTAAAAATATTATACTTTGTATTATAATTGTTCCTTTCTCTCGTATGCGGTAGAAGTTAGTAAAACGAAAAAAATCAAATGAAGCAGAGAATTATTCAGTTTCGGAATGTAATGTAACAACCTTTGCATAAGCCTGTTCAACTTGCTATTTCTTTGACATTCGACGCACCTTTCATGAACTTGAACGTCACCCATATGTGATATAATATTGTGATTATGAGATAAAGCGGAGATTAAAACAGAATTCCAAGAAGCTCAGAAACGAACGTAACTTCAGTTTAGTTCCTGAACTATATTTATTAGTGTTGGAAGAATGGGGCCAAAAAATGTAAAATGTATATAATCGGAATCAGACTTCGATATAGTTTGTCTGATTGTAAAATCGATGACGTGTGTTAACAGTTCTTTCTTCAACTCAACCTTTAGTTCTGTTCAAAAATGATCATCATACTTGAAATTTCCTTTTGTCTTGTAATTTTTTTTATGATTCTTCCTTATTTCTGAACTGTATGATAATGACATATCTGAATTAAAAGGTTGTGGTATTTAAGGTAAGTAGGCAGGAGGCATACAAATAAAATCAATTACTACAATAAAACACAAAGCTAATAAAAATCGCTAGGACAATCGTTATTTTGAATTCGTTTCAAAATGTTAATCTATGACTTTTCTGAGTTTATCGAAGCTGAAATAAAGCGTCCTCTAGTGTTCATCAGTAAAGATATGTCATTGTCTGTCTACTGATATTACGTAGCACATGCCCGTGGAGCAGCGAAACATCAACTCCCTGAATATTTGAGAGCTGCAGAAAACTGGGTGGTTGAGATAAAGCCTTCGAAGTATAGAAGTTATTTCGAGATGTACCTAGTCATTGAAAGAAGACTATAAAACCTTTCCTTTAAATAGTAAAAGGTGTAATTCATAACGCTTGCTTAGCTTAATATACTTTAAATATTTTCCTTAGAGTTTTGCGTATGTGGCATAGAATAGAAAGCTACAAGTTAAAAGCTTTCCTTTTGTCACAACATTGATAATACTATGCTACCATCTATTCTGGAGATTCAAATTTCTTAAACAAGTTAACCTTCAGTTGTACGTAAGTACACAATTTTATTTATATTTTTGTGTTAAGTTTTATAATATGTTAACTGATACTAATCTTTTTTCTATAAATCTGATTTTTTGTTATGCATTTATATGAACAGCTAAAAAAACAAGCTTACCCAGACAAATAATTCACAAGATTTTCAAAACGAAAATCTTCATGACCATTATATGGAGGTTTGTGTCAACTTTACAACTGTTTTTACACACAGTTTTCTTTAAAGCAAAAACTTGTGCGAAAATTGAGAAAGAGTTCGCAGCGTAGTTTTAACTTAGCAGTAAATTCTACTCTATAGTAAACCCAATATCTAACCTTGATGTAATGTATGAATTTATATAAATCATGTTAATATTTTCAAAACAGTTAGCATTTATGATTGCAAATATTAAGCAGATCAATTGATAATTTGTAAATGACGCATTATGTTTGAGATAGTTTATTTGTTTACAATAAATTAAAAACTTTCAGCTGTTAAAAGGTAATTAGGCCAAGAGTTAAACCAAGAATTTTCATCAAAAGAATTGATACGAAAAATAACTGTTTACCAAACATGATTGACTTACAGCTTCTCATGTGAAGGGAGTCAATTTGTTAATAATTAATGATATTTCCTTTCAAGGGTTACTGACTTTGTGTCCTTAGGTAATCACATCAGATCGAAACAACAATGACATCACGAAACAAAATACATCGACTTTAAGTCATATGGTAAAGTGATGTCTATAGTTTCTTTAAGTTTACGACTTTCTTACTGAATTAGTTATTCAATAACGTATGGCTAGGAGATAGGAGTGTTATTTCTTGGGTTCTAAATTTATCATGAATGAATTTCCATGGGTCGCCATATACGTACAAGGACCTGGCAAACTCGATTTTCAGAACAATATGACGAAACACGATAACCAGAATTTAATAAATTCGGAAAATTGTTACACTTCACTGCTGTTTTTCACAGAACACGTTATCATAGTGCTTGTAAGTTTATATTATAGAGACAACTTATAGTAATTAATTTGATAATTCGTCTATGTTAGTCAGATATTGATTAGAAATTATTAGTGTTTTATTAGTGTGATTATTATCATGTTGATTTTAGGTTAATCGTATAAAAACAACATATAGTGATTAGTTCGATAATTCAGATTTTATATTGATAAGATATTTATTGGAATACAATGTTTAGTTTGTGTTGAGACATTATTGTGTATGACGTGAGGTACTTTTCTTATGTATTTCTGTTTTGTCATTACTCATGTTATCTTTGTTTCATTATGCTCTTTGATTTGGAAATATGCTCTTATGAAAAACAATCGTTGATGTATTTTGTCATGTACGATTCTTTCTTACAATTGTGATCGTATATCTCTTTCAAAATATAAATATCTTCAAATAAGTTTCTCCATGTTTATTTGCCGTAAATAGTGCTTCGGGTTTTCAACTTTAAAGCACACAGCCGTAAAAATAAATTCTGTCTGTTAAATTATTAAATTAGACTTGTAGAATTATATAAAAAATATCTTCGCCTGAAGATTTAACTAGGTTTATAGTAAGAAAAATAAACCAATTACTGTATTTTGGTGTTTTAAAACGGGTACTCTTATGTGGGAAATATGTTCGCTTAGATCCAGCCTTTCCTCTTAGAAGCAATCCATAAGGATTATAATAGATGTGCATACATTTACCTGAATGGGATAATTTCCAAGATTATTAAGGCGGGAAGAAATATATCATGCTCTGATAAATTACCATTTTGAATAGATTAGCGAAAGAAGCGGTATAATTTGCATGTTTATTAACTTGGAGAATTTGTAAAGGAAGTTTTCTGTAGACCTCAGTTACTATTATGTTTAGTTGTTACACAGACAGACACAGGGTTAAGTATGATATATCAAACGGTTTTGAATACACAAATCAGTATGTCGTGACAACCATTACAAATATAAAGTTGCAATGGAACGGCATGCATCAGAACTACCTTTTGAGCATTGCTTGATATGTTATAAGTATTTCCGTGTGATGATAACAAAAATTAATATATTTTTGGGGAAGTTATGTAATTGTCCATTCAGACACAAAGTATTCATACGTTTAGACCATAAATATGTGATTAGATCAGAGATTTAAAATTTTTCAAGAAGGAAATATATTTTGTATTTAGCTCCCAATGTGTCAGCCGAAATTTTACGAATTTACTATGCTGAAGTCCGGGATTCGATTCACCGCAATGGACAGAGTGTAGCTTTGCACTAAGAAAACCACAAAAACAACGACAATATTTTTTGTGTTTAATAGCTTTGGAAACAAAGATATAAGGATCATTCTGAGGTACCATGACCACCCAGAAAGATATCTACAACAAGTCCTATGCCAACTGCGATAAGCGAAAAGCTGCATCTTGTAACAGGTGAGAATCCATGAATACAGGGGTCAGTGGCAAAAGCTATCCATGTGCCCCAGGCAACAATACGTAACATAATAAAAAATATATAATCTGTAAAAACGACAAAAATCACGTGTACACAAGCTGCTTTCGTGTCATAGCCATTCAACTGGTATTCATGCTATTTCATATGAAGACATACTGGTCAAGTTGCCGAACGCAGCGCTTATGCATGTCTATGTGTCTCGTATACTAGATGTATCATGGAAACAATTTATGGCAGGGGTTGTGTACGTTAGACCTGACAGCCTTACGATGGAGAATTGTAATGGAAACCAAGCTGCAAGGCAATGTCAAGATGCACAGTCGGCAGATATAACATGACCGGATGTGGTAACATGGGTACAACGAAGTGGTGAAGCCATTGGCTAAAGTGATAACTTAGTGTAGTTAACAAATATCCACACTACCTAGACCTCGCATTAACAAACTTGCTGAGACAGAACTCCGTGGTTAGAGAAAAAGAGCTCGTGCTTTGGACAGTGTAAATACTCTTATAGTTTGTAACCATAACAAAAATATTACGTCTTGTAGAAAGCAGAAAACGCTCTAAACTTCACTATAATCATTAAGACGGTTAATGAATCTTGTAGAAAGACGAAAAATGATAAAAAACGAATGTAATATATCTTTTAAAGAGAGGATATATAAAAATATATCATAGGAAGACAGAAACTCATCAAAAAGCATATTATTTCTTCTAGGAATAAAAAAAAATATCAAACTTATTTCGTTTCTTGTAGGAAGACTGTTAAATATATAACCGTGTCTTGCGTCTTGTAGGAAGACATGAAGAGATAAAATAATATCTTGAATCTTATAGGAAGACAAAAAAATTATAAAACCTATCTTGAGAGTTTTGTAGTAAGATAGGAAAATGTAAAACGTATCTTGCGTCTTGTGAGTAGACATGAAGATATAAACATGTATAGTTTTTCTTCTAGTAAGTGAGGAAAATATAAAACCATATTCTGCTTCTTGTAGGAAGACAGGGAAATATAAAATCGTATCTTGTTTCTTGTAGGAAAGCAATAAAATATAAAGGGGGATCTTGTAGGAAGTAAAGAAAATATAAAATCGTATCTTGTTTCTTGTAGGTAGGCAATAAAATATAAAGGAGGATCTTGTAGGAAGTAAGGAAAATATAAAAGTGTATTTTGTTTCTTGTAGGAAGACATGAAAATATAAAAAAAAAAATATATCTAACGTATTCAAATTACAAGAATAATCCAAAAGAAACCGTCCAACAATCGTAATGGTTGCAACGGTATCCTGCATGTTGTAGGACAGATTATGTACAACTAAAAACCTTGCTTGTAAAATTATAAATAATCTTAAGCTCATATATTTCCACGTTTTCCATATGTGAATAACTTTTACGATACATGTATATTTAATTTTGAAAATCATTTATTATATCTAATTTGTTTAATTCAGGATTCATGTGGAATTATGAATGGAAGATAATCTTAATTTCATCTTTTATTATTTTTATTTTGATTGTAACAGTACAAACCAATGTTCCATCTAAATTTTCTTTGTATTGGGCGAACTACAAACTCCTTTGAGCATTATATTTTCCGTCACTTTTATTGAGCAACTGTACTCCTGG